ATAGGCTTTATCAAGACGAGGGAAGAGGTTTTTCTGATATAGTTGATAGGGAGAGTGATACTTTTTCTTCAAGTTCATAAAGCGGATCATTGGCGGCACAAGAAAGTAATGTTTTGTTTCGTGAGTTCGGATATCCGGTGGATTATGAGCTCACGGGAGGGATTTTTCTTCCCGTCACGGAAACCAACTTCTCAATTTAACCACAATATACTAGAATGGTCCAATCAGAGCAATTTTCCGGAAGTTCAAGTGAGGACCATATTGAACATTTAGACCGATTTCTTGAATTGTGCGCAGTGATGCAAACCAATGAAGTGAGTCAAGACTACATTCATATGCACCTTTTCCAGCAATCTCTCATCGGATGAGAAAAGAAATGGCTAAAGCAAGTAAAGACTAACACTCTTACAACATAGAGGGAGGTGGTAAAGGCGTTATTGAAGCGATTTATCTTCGAGGAGAAGACCGCCAAAATAAGAAGGAAAATTGAATCATTTGAGCAAGAAGCCGATGAAAGTCTAAGTCAAGGATGGGAGAGATTCAAAGAGCTGGTGCAAGCGTGTCACCACCATGAGTACAATCAAGGGTTGCTCATGCGGTTTTTCTACGACGGATTGGAGCCCATGTCAAGAGCCAATTTGGATGCGTGGGCGGGTGGTCAATTAATCAAAATCCCTCAAAATCAAGTTGAAGCCACAATAGAAGAGATAGCAAAGAATTAATCTTGGGGGGTCCGAAGAAGAAATGCTCCAAAGAAAGGTGGTAGTTACAATTTTGAGAAAGTTTATCAATTACAACATTAAATTGATCAACTAATAAAAGGGATTTCCAAGTTGAAAACGTGTGTGAATACAAGTTTAAGCGGTGGAGCAAGCTCCTCTCAAGTTAACTCTGTCTCTTGTAAAAATTGTGGAGGAACGAACCATGATACATCTTATTGGGGAGGTTTAAGACCCGAGCATGTAGCGGCATACAACACAAGGCAAGAGGGATTTAGAGGAAGCGGAGGTGGAGTATTAAGAGCTTCACCTCAACCTCAATAATGGAACCAACAAGCTCAACCTTCTTACAACTCCAACCCTCAATATCAAAATCCACCTCCGTCTCAACTCTAAAACCCAAGAGGAAGCTATCCAAGGAACAACCAATACAACAATAAAACCCAAGCACCTCAAAGAAATCATCAAGAATAAGCTCAACTCCTCCAATCCATGCATGCACAAATGCAATCTTTTGGGCAACAAATGCAAGAGATAAGAGCTCACAACAAGTTGTTGATTCACAACCAGCTCAATTGGCCGAGAGAAATCCTTTTAATTCACCATCTACTCTACCGGGACAACCACAACCTAACCCATCTCACAACTGAAAACTCGATACATGCAAGGCGATCACATTGAGGTCCGGAACTTCCTATGAAGGGCCAAATGAAGGGGACAGTGAGGAAAAGAAGGGAGGAGAGGAGAGTGTGAATGAAAACAAGGGAGGTGAGAAAGAAAAGGTTGATGAGATAGAAGGAGGTTCGGAGAAGAAGATGCTTGACAATGAGAAGACGACTGCAATTCCTAGTGAGGCTAGGAATCTTGATGGACCGGTTCCTTTTCTCGGTCGGCTTGCTAAGAGGAATTTAAATGACAAGTTTGCAATATTCCTTAGTGTCATGAAGAATTTACACAATAACCTCCCTTTCCTTGAAGTTGTGACACAAATGCCATCTTACTCCAAGTTCCTCAAAGATATTCTCACCAACAAGAGGAAGCTCAATGATGAGCTTATCGCCCTTCCACATCAAGTGAGTGCTCTTGTCCAATATAAGATGCCCAAGAAGGAAAAAGACCCGGGAAGTTTTACTTCGCCGATAAGAATTGGGATCATGGAAGCTAGGGGCACCTTAGCCAATCTTGGAGCTAGTGTTAATTTAATCCCACTATCCATTTCTCAAAAACTCAATTTAGAGATGATCTCTACAAGGAAGACAATTCAATTGGCCAATCGATATGTGAAATTACCTTGTGGAGAGCTTGAGCATGTTCCAATTCAAGTGGGACACATTTACGTGCCTTGTTACTTTATAGTGATGGATATGGAGGAAGATGTTAACACTCCTTTGATTTTGGGCGTGAAGCTCTTAATACTTTGGGGGCGGTCATCAATTGCAAGAACAACACCATCACATGTGAGGTGGCCGATGAGAAGATTGTCTTTGAGTTTTCTAAGTTGCTCAAGACCCCCATGGTTGAAAAATGTTATGGAGTTGATGTTGTGAATGAGGATCTAGATCGCTTGGGGAGGGTCGTGATGAGGCCTCAAGATCCAATGATAGAAGCTCTTACATGCAAAGAAGAGTTCCACTCTCAAGAAGCAAAAAGAGTTTGTCATGGCAATGGAGGAATCCTCAAAGAAGGAGGTTGAACAGCAAGTGGAGATCGAGCTTAAGTCCAAGGAGGAGAAATTGGAGGAGAGTTCTAAGCCTCCTCTCAAGGTAGAACTCAAGCCCCTTCCCCCCCTTTGAAATATGCTTTTCTTCACAAAGAGGGAAAATACCCTATTATTGTCAATGCTACCCTAAATGGTGTTAATTTGGAAAAACATCTTGATGTTTTGAGAAAATATAAGGATGTAATAGGGTATAGCATTGATGATATCAAAGGTATTAGACCTTCTTTATGCATGCATCGTATTCATCTTGAAGATGATCATTCCACCTCCACTGAACCTCAAAGAAGGTTGAACCCCAACCTTCAAGAGGTTGAGAAGAAAGAAATTTTGAAACTACTGAGGCGGGCATCATCTATGCTACCTCCGATAGCAAGTGGGTTAGCCCGGTTCATGTAGTTCCAAAAAAGAGTGGGATCACCATAATCAAAGGTGAAGGAGGAGAGGAAATCTCCACCCTGACTGTGACCGGGTGGAGAATATGTATAGATTATAGGAGGTTGAACAAAAACACCAAGAAAGATCATTTTCCTCTCCCATTCATGGACCAAATGCTCTAGAGGCTCTCTCAACATGCTTTTATTGTTTCTTGGATGGGTATTCAGGATTCTTCCAAATCCCTATTCATCCAAGCAATCAAGAAAAAACCACTTTCACATGTCCATATGGGACATTTGCATACCGAAGAATGCCATTCGGTTTATGCAATGCTCCTTCTACCTTTCAAAGATGCATGACCTCCATTTTCTCTAAGATGCTTGAAAAAGAAAACGAAGTTTTCATGGATGATTTTAGTGTTTGTGGCTCTTCTTTTGACACTTGTCTTTTTAACCTCTAAAAGGTTTTTAAAAGGTGTCAAGAGACGAGTTTGGTTTTGAATTGGGAAAAATGCCACTTCGTGGTCGAGGAGGGCATTGTCCTCGGCCATAAAGTTTCAAATAATTGCATTGAGGTTGACCCGGCCAAAGTTTCGGTGATTGAGAAATTGCCCCCTCCTACTTCTATCACGGGAGTACGAGCGTTTTTTGGGCATGCCGGTTTCTACCAGAGATTTATCAAAGACTTTTCATCAATCGCCAAACCTTTGACCGAATTACTCAAAATGGATGTTGCTTTTAACTTCAATGAGGCTTGCCTTGAAGCATTTTGTAAGCTCAAGGAAGCTCTCATTTCATCTCTCGTTGTGCAAGCTCTGGATAGGAGCTTGCCTTTTGAGCTAATGTGCGATGCGAGTGATTTTTCGGTGGGTGTTGTGCTTGGACAAAAGCAAGAAGTAAAATCATGTGTCATCTACTATGCAATCAGGACTCTTGATGAAGCTCAAAAGAACTATTCAACAACGGAGAAGGAAATGCTAGCGGTTGTTTTTTCCTTTGATAAGTTTAGGTCCTATCTTATTTGCTCTAAGGTGATTGTGTACACGGATCATATTGCGGTGCGATATCTCATGACTAAGAACGAAGCAAAGCCTCACCTATTCCTTTTGGTTCTCTCTCTTTAAGATTTTCACATGGAAATGAAAGACAAAAAGGGAGCGGAGAACTACGTTGCGGATCATTTGTCTAGGCTACCTTTTGACAACAAAGATGATGTACCAATCAATGATGAGATAGGATTTGAATCTCTCATGGCTATAGCTTTAACATGTAGCCTTTGGTATGCGAACATTGCTAATTATCGTGCTTGTGGAGTCACTCCCCCGGAGTTTTCTTCTCAACAAAAGAAGAGGTTTTTTAAGGTAGTGAGGAGGTATTTTTGGAACGACCCATACTTGTTAAAACAATGCGGAGATGGGCTTTTTCGAAAATGTGTTCCGGATCATGAAATCAAAGGAGTTCTTAAGCATTTCCATTCACTACTATGTGTAGGACATGGGGGTGTTGATAAGACAGTGGCAAAAATCTCTCAATCTCTATTGTGGTGGCCAACGATGCATAAGGATGCCCACAAGTTTGTCTCACAATGTGATAGGTGTTAAAGGCAGGAGTGGTGGCATAACCAAAACCGATGAAATGCCTCAACAAAATGTCTTGGAAGTTGAGCCCTTTGATGTATGGGGAGTGGACTTTATGGGGCCTTTCGTTTCTCCTTATGGAAATCTATATATATTGGTAGCGGTTGATTATGTGACGAAATGGATTGAAGCCATACCCTCACCTACCAACGATCACAAGGTTGTGCTTAAGCTTCTAAAGAAGATCATTTTTCCTAGGTTTGGAGTTTCGAGGGTGCTAATTAGTGATGGAGGCTCCCATTTCTCCAAAAACTAATTTGAAGCTCTTCTCAAGAGGTATGGCGTTCATCACAAGGTTGGATTACCTTACAACCATCAAACTCAAGGACAAGTAGAGGTCTCGAATCGTGAATTCAAAAATCTTCTTGAAAGGATGGTGAACAAATCAAGGAAAGATTGGTCTCTCAAACTTGATGAAACACAATAGGTTCTTAGGAATGCGTACAAGACTCCAATCGACACGACCCTCTATAGGTTGGTCTATGGAAAGGCTTGTCACTTGCCGCTTGAGTTAGAATACATGGCTTGATGGGCCATCAAAGAACTCAATATGGATTTATCGTTGGCCAGTGAGAAGAGATTGCTTAAGATCAATGAACTTGAAGAGCTTAGAGATTATGCTTATGAGCGCTCAAGGTTATATAAGGAAAAGACCAAAAAGTGGCATGACCAATATATTCGAAACAAGAGCTTTAAGGTTGGAGACAAGGTTTTTCTTTTCAACTCAAGGCTTCGTTTATTTTCGGGTAAACTCAAGTCAAAGTGGTCGGGTCCTTTTGTTATATCAAAGACTACTCCTTATGGCTCCTTTGAGTTAGATGCGGATGATAACAAATTTATGGTTAATGGTCATCGTTTAAAGCATTACTTTTGCAAGGAAGAAGTTGGTGTCATCAAATGAATAATTCTTGATCCTTTGGATCCCAAGCCTCCCCCTTGAATAATTTTCCTCACGATCAAGCTAGTGACCTTATAAAGAAGCGCTTCTCGGGAGGCAACCCGAGTTTCTAACTCTTTTCTAATTTTTTTTATATATATTCCGATTTTACTTTATTTTTTGAATTTGAATTTTATTTCTCCTCTTTTGGTTGATAGGTTTTTGGATGATGAAGGAGTAAAGGTTTTTCTATGTCGAAGATGATAAAAGAAAAAAAAAATGAAGTTAACTCTACGCGACCCTGTGCCCGACTGCTGCGCGGGCGCACAGACAAAAGTGTGCGGGCGAGCATTCTGTCAGAACCCGCACACTTTTGGTCAAAATTTAAGCTTGGAAATAAAAGGTCTGCGCGACCTCTTGATAAGTGACTTTTAATTTATGTCACTTTTAGGGTGTTTAGTGAGTCGCTTTCCGGCTTATTTTTAAATAATTTAGCCCATTTTTTTCTTTATTTCTTTTATTTGCTTATTCTCGTCATTTATCTTTATTTTGAGTATTTTTAGTAGTTTTTAATAGTTTTTACCTTATTTTCTTAATTTATTTAAATTATCTTCTTTTCTATGTTTATATTTTAATTTTTTAGTTCTTGTTATTTAATAAGTTCCTATTTTCTCTCATTTTCTTTTTTTATTTTATTTTCATGTTTGTTTTCTTTATTTTATTTAATTACTTTTGATTTTATTTTTAACTTATTTTTATTTTATTTTATCTTTATTTTATTTTATTTTATTTGTCTCGGTTTCACCCTCGGGTTTGTTTGTGTGTAGGCTCAAGTTCAAGGTCCAAGCTGAGGCTTTTCAATTGCCACCCAACACCAACTCCCCTTGCAGCAACCTACCACAAAAATCACCACTCACAAACCACCAGCTCCACCACTGCTTTCCCCCAATTCACCAACTGCAACAGCAACAAACACAGCACCTCCAAGCACCTCCTCACGCAAACCCCAACAGCCTCCACAGCCACCGCCGAAACCGCCATTAATACACCACCAAAACAACTCCAATCAACCACCACACAAAACCACAACCACCTGCGAACCTCCACCATCAATTCTCCTCTGTTCCACCGTCCTTCACCACACATAAACCGCACCTTCCGTCAGCCACCAATCAACCACCAACCTCAATACACCAAACCACCTGAACCACACCCTTCCCCACTTTCCACTCGCAACAACAACAATCAGCAACCAATTCACCACCTCATCTCCAACCAAACCCACGCAAACAGCACCCACCAATCAGAGAAGCCGCTTTAATCGAACCTCCAAATTCGCCCAACCCACACCACCGCGGCCGCGCAGCCCTGTCAGAAAGCGCGCAATTGGAATACAAAATCATCGTCAAGGCAGTAGCTTTGCGCGACTTGTTGTGCGATTTATGTGCGGGCGCACAATTGTTGGTCGATCACGAGCTTTTCACATGATTTTTAATGAAAATTGGACGGCCACGATAGATGATGATGATGTTGATTTACGGTGGTGATTATGATGATTTTTTTTTGTGGTGATGAAAGTTTAGAGCAGCCAAATTCGAAAGAGAAGATGAAAGGAGGTCTGATGTTTTCGTGGGTTTGGGTGGGAATTTTTGGAATTTCTTTTTTTTTCCTTTTCATTTTCTTTTATTTTATTTTATTGTAAGTTTTGTTTTTATTGGTTTTTAGTTTAGTTTTTTTTTAATTGTTTTATCTAGTTTTATTTCTTTTTAGTTTCTTTCTTTTATTTTATTTTTTTATTTAACTTGTATTATAAATACCCTTTTGGTGTTATTTTTTCATAACTTATCAATCAACATTTTATTTTTAGAGACTTTAGATTAGTTTAGCCTTTAATTTCTCTCTCTTAGGGTTAATTTTAGGAGTAGTGTAGAGAGAGAAAGCTTGGATTTCCATGGAGTTTTTGAGAGGTTGAAGAAGTAACTTTGTGGAACTTCTTCTCATCTATTCAATGAGAATTTTCTAACTTTCTCTCATCCTTATTTCTTGCTTAATTACTAGTTTTATGCTTTTTGTTTATTTATTTGAGTAGATTAATTAGTTTGTTTGTTTAATCTTGTTTTTATTCTTATTTTACCTTGTTTTCCATGTCTTTCTTCTATGTTAGCTTAGATTTTGTTCTAGGGAAATGGATGAAGGTTTTGTTAATAAATTGAATGATTGATTGTTATTAGTATGGAATTGTTTCTTGATTATTGTGTATGGATGATGCTTTTATGGATTAGAATCTTTCTAGCTAATTGATTCTATGTTCTTAATTGTGCTTTCAATCGATTGTGCGAGAGTGAGTTGGTTGAGAGCCCTAATTTCTTCCATACCTTTGCTAGGCTAGTTGCATGAGAGTGAATTAGTTTAGTAGGATAATTAACATGCTTAATTGTGCGAGAGTGAGTTAAATGTGTTGATTGTTCCTAATCAAGGTCATTTCCATCTAATTGTATGATGTTATTAAATGTATTGATGTAATTGGATTCCAATTTCCCTAGTTTTAGTTATTTGTTCTTAGTTGTGTTTAGTTGAACCTCTCTCTATCTCACAAGCTTTCCTAGTAGTCTAATTAGCACAAATTGATACACTTAGTCCTTTTGGGTTCGACCCTTTACTTGCCACTAACTAGTTTAGTGTAAGTTTGGGTATTATAAATTTCTAAATTGGTTAGGGTGGTAGCATAACGACCTATCTATCCGCGATCACCTCCGTGCGGGCGCGCAGCCCTGTCAGAACTCGCACACTTGTGTTCGAAATTAAAGCTTGGAGACAGAAGGTTTGCGCGACCCTATGCGCGACCTCTGTGTGGGCGCGCAGGGAAGGGTATGCGGGCGCGCAACCTTGTCAGAACCCGAACACTTTTGTTCAGAATTGGAGATTTGAGGCAGTGTGTCTGCGCGACCCCTTTGCGGGCGTGCAGAAACCCTGTGCGGGCGCGCATAGCTGGGAAAATCGGGTTTTAAGTTCTTCTTCCCCATTTTACCCTCATATTTTCGGAAACCCTAATTCATGCTCTCTTTTCTCTCCTCACAAACTCAACCTTAACCCTTCCATTTCACCCATTTCTCACAAATTCCATTGATTTTCCTTCAAATCCATCAAAAATTTTCACTCTACTCACAAATTTACCCACGTTCTCTCTCCAAAATACCCAAAAATCCTCCATTTTTATGGTGTGCAAGCTTGGTTGAAGGTGGTATTCTTGGGGGTTCTTAGTGGTGTTCAAGCTTCTACTAAGTGGTATAACTCTAAATTTTGCTACTTTATTGTTTATTTTCACTTGTTTATGCAAAATTTTTAGTTATTAAGCATGGTTTAGCTTGCATGAGTTTCATGTGATTTTTATTTTCTTTGCTAAGGATTTGTTGGTTTTTAGTGGGACATTTAGTGGTTTTGGAACATTGTTGTTAACATTATTGATTTAGAATCTATTTTCATGGAATTGAGGATGAGCAATTTTGTGTTAGTATTGATGATAATGCAACTATTTTCATGAAAATTGCTTATTATCTTAATGTATTGTGATTGAGTGCTTTGTTGTGGATTCTAGTTGTTTATAGAGCTATATTTGTGTGGTTAGTTGTTGGTACTAACCTTTTTGCCAATTGTTAAGGCTCGGGTTGTTGTTGTTGTGTTTCAAGTATTGGTTGAGTTCGAAGTGAGTTCTCTTTTGGTTTGGTTGTTTGTATTGCTTGAGGCCACAATGAACAAAAGAAAGAGTAGAAAGGAGCCCCGTTTAAGGGTTGAGGAACCTAGTACTCAACTCAAGATCAATGACCGAAAGTTCCCCCTCGATTGAAATTCTTGAACAAGGTCCATGCTACCTTCTTCAATGACCTTCAAGGACGAAAGCTAAATACCACGAGACACTATGATCAACGCTCCATAAGAGCTTTGGGGATTGACGATGACATAGGGTTACTCCTTGATAACTTAGGGTTGGATGAGTTCATCAAGCATCAACATCGAACATATAAAGAGCCCAACTTCGAATTCTTTGCCTCATATGAAAAACAGCTTTATGGGAACAACGACTTCCCAATTTCCTTCCAACTATTCAACAACCAGCACACTATGACTCTTAGTGATCTCAATGCATTGTTGGATTTGAACCCCGCGGAAGACCTCCTTGCCCTTTCATTGAGCCTATTCCCAAAGTACGATGCATTTCGATGGTAGAAAACGATTACCGATTTTGAAGAGTTCAACACTAGGTATTTGGTGGCCAACCAAATTATCCACCCTGTTCTCCATATCCTTCACCACATTCCGGGGTATGCGTTGTTTATCAAGCAAGACTTGAGTAAGCTCTCGCATGAAGAGATCTTTACTTTGTGGGTTGCTTTTAGGGAGGAGTTGAGAGGGCGGCAAAACCTGGGGTACAGGTTCATCCTTTGCTGCGAGGAAATCAAGTCGGGTCACAACACAGGAGAAATTGCCCTTGGTGGGATGATCACAAGGATGAACGCTTCTTCCCCGCATGCACTGAAGTTTTGGCCGACAAGGATTTATTTGTTGACATACAACAAATGAGAAGGTCGGGGTCCCTCCAAGGAACTTCAGATGCATACAATTTTCATGCTTGGATTGTTGAGCGCGAGCACCATTGTATCTTGCTTACCCCAGCCGTACATCCTTGGAGCGGAATGCTAGGAATGTATGGAAAAATCCGCGAGACAATGGTGTGTTACCCACTGCTTTGGGAGGCGCAAGGAATATAGTAGTCGAACAGCAACAACAATAGCAAGAACTACATCAGCAGCAACAACAACAACAACAACAACAGCAACAACAACAACAACAACAACAACAACAACAACATCATCATCAAAAACAACAACAACATCAAGGCATGAGTAGCCTTGAACAACAAATGATGAGCATGTAATTTGGCATGCAAATCCTAATGGAGAACCAGCAGGGTATGTTTATGCAAACCTAAGCTCTCTATGGTGCGGCTGTGAATAGAGGTGAGGTCA